TCCCATAGGGAGCACCTGTGCTGAGTCCCGGCTGCTCCACTTCCATCCAGCTCCCTGCTGTGGCCTGGGAAAGCAGTGGAGGACGGCCCAAGTGCCTGGGCCCCTGCACCCACGTGGGAGACCCAGATGGAGCTCCTGAATCCTGGCTATTGTGGCCATCCGGGGAGTGAACCAGCGGATGGAAAATCTCTCTGTGCAACTCTGCCTTTCAAATAAATAAATAAATCTTTAAATAAATAAGTAAATAAATAAATGTGTTCCCAGGCACGTTAGCAGGGATCTGGATCCAAAGTGGAGCATTCAGGACTCAGATTGGTGCTCCTGTGGGATGCTGGGGTTGCAGGCAGAGGCTTAACCCCCAGGCTGCACTTGTCTGGCCCTCGAGGCAGCCTGGCCTGTGACCGAGACAGCCTGGCCTGTGACCAAGACAGCCTGGCCTGTGACCGAGACAGCCTGGGCCTGTTCTCAGCAGGGACCTCATTCTGTGACTTGGTGTTGTAGTCGCCGTGCCCTCATCTCCTGGGGGTGTTGCAACCCTCCCCCTCCACGGACACCTGAGAGTACAGATAGTAGTCAAGTCTATTAAGCTGTTTTTGCCTGTACATGCCTATGATAAGGGTTGGTTTCGCAGAAAGAGACTAACAGCAATAACTGATACAGGAGAATAATTGATCAACATACCGTAATAAAGTTATTTAAAAAGATAGGAATTGTTCATTTCCGGAATTTGCACCCCAGTTGACTGTGGGTAACCGAAACCACAGATGAGCAAGGGGCTACTGGTCAGACCCCCGTGAATCGCAGGACAAGGAAATAGCCCCAGCTGGGGTCTGCAGTGACCCCTGCCCTGGGTCCCCTCTGCTGTCGGAAGCTCCTCCACCCCAGGCCTCCTTGAGGAGTGAAGAGCCGGCCGCCTGTCCTCTGCTCCCGCATGTCCGGCTGGCGTGGTCACCGCCACCCAGCCTGCTTCTGCCCGACAACATGATTTTGTATTCTCTGCCCCGCTTAGTGTCTGTTTTTTGCCAAGCCCCTGCCTGTCTTCCCGTCCCGAAGGGTAGAGACGAATTCAGCTCCTTCCCTAGGGACATGGGGGGCTGCCCCCGGGTGGTGTCCTCTGGGGGCAGCAGGGTGGTTTTCTGAAGCCGTTGAAGTCCTCCAAATCCTCTCTGTAGGAACATTGCCAGAAACGGTTAATCTGATAGGATTGAATCTGGGGAGCTGAGAGTTTGTTTAGGGCTGTGGATGCGTCCTTGGCGGGGACCCGAGGCCAGAGCCCAGGATCTGAGCTCCGTGTCTGTGTGGGGGTGGGCTGTGCTGCTGGCCCTGGCCTCCCCCTCTCCCTCCCTGTCACCCCCTCCATGACTCGGTGGCTTCCCCAAGCCCTGTCTTTGCTCTTGCTGGAAGCGTTCCTGCCCACAGCGGCAGCCAAAAGGCTGCTGGCCATGGACGCCACGGCCACCTGCCCCGGCCCCAGCCTCTCCCACTCCAGGACAAAGCGCCCAGCCCGCGCCCGGAGCCCCCTACCCCCACACCCCAACGCCAGCTGCCTGCGTGGTGAGCGCTGCCTCAGGTTCCTGCGTCTGCCCCAGAGTCGCCCTGGGCACTTGCGGGCTCCTCCTTCCCCGTCTTGCGGGCTCCTCCGGGCCAGACCCCCACCTCAGCCCCTGCCCTCCCTGCCCCACCCCCTTGGGTCTCTGGGTGCTGCCGCTGCACTCAGTGCATTCCGGACCCTCACCGCAGCCCCTCCACGACTCAGCCTCGCTCCCACCCCGCCACAGGGGCCTCCCCCTTGCTTCTCCGGGTTGTTCCTCCTCACCCCGCCTGTCTCTGGTCCCCACAGCCTCAGCTGGCGGACCCACCCCACCCTGTCCCCATCCCGCCCGCCCCCGCGTGCACCGGCCTCTTTGGCTTTCTTCAAGGCACTTAATCCCGCCTGAGGTCATCTTTTATTCTGGTGTGCATTGTCTGCCGCACTGGCACGTCCGCTGCTGGGAAGGGGCCCTGCCTGTCACCCCCCTCCCCCACCCCGCCCAGGCTCCTCTGACAGGCCCAGCGCTCGGCCGGCCGACCGGAGCCCAGTAGGTGCTAGAGAATGAGTTGGAAGAAGCCGCAGTGACCACAGCGCCTGCCCTGTCTCGTGTCTCTCCCTGCCCTAGGCCACCCACTGGCCCGCAGTCTTTGGCGCCAGCGGTGCGCCGTACCCCAGGTAGAGTTCAGAGATGGAATAACCCACGGCTGATCCAGGGCGTGTTTTGGTTTTTTGTTTTAAGATTTATTTTATTCATTTGGAAGGCAGAGTTACAGAGAAAGAGAGAGAGATCTTCCATCTGCTGGCTCACTCCCCAAATGGCCACGATGGCCAGGGCTGGGCCAAGCCGGAGCCAGGAGCCAGGAACTGCATCCGGGTCTCCCACGGTGGGTGCAGGGACCCAAGCACTTGGGCCGTCTTCTGCTGTATTCCCTGGTGCATAAGGAGGGGGTGGGATTGGAAGAAGCATAGTCGGGTTTCAAACTGGCGCTCCAGTGATACGGGTGTGGGTGTCCTGGGTGTCCCAAGAGGTGGCTTAACCTACTGTGCCACAACACCAGCCCCTCATCTCTTCTGTGTGTCCCTGTGCGGCCACGTGGCCCCTGCTGGGGCAGCAGTTCCTGGAGTCGGGCCACCCCAGCGGGCTCCTTTTCACTGTCACCACTTTAAGGACCCAGTCTTGAATTGCAGCTGGGTGTGGGGCTTTGGCACAGGAAGGGGTTGGGGACACAATTGAGCCCTGACCCCTGGTGCCATGTGATGTTCTCGGGACCCAGGGCACGTGGGACTCCGCAGGGGTGGCCCTGCAGGAGGTCTGTGGCCTGCACTCTGAGCCCTGTCACCTTCAAGGCCCTGGAATGAACCTGCTCCTGGCTGTGTGCTTTGCTGGGTCCATGCGACCCCCAAGAGTGGCCCTGCAGGGGCGGGGGCGGGAAGCACAGCCACCTGGGGGCAGAGGGACTCAGACCACCAGGGCTGAGGCCAATGGCCTCCCAGTTCAGCCCTCGAGGCCTGGCCTGGGCTCCAGCCTCTTCCCAGGTGTCCTCCTGCCTCTTGCCTCGCCCCCTCCAATGCTCCCGACTGATGGCTCCGGAGTGCAGCTCTCATCCTGTTGCCTCCCTACCTACCGGCCCGCACCTGCTGTGGCCCTCACCTGGGCTGCAGGCCTCGCCCCCCCCCCCACCTTCAATGACGTTTTTGGGCACTTAGGCCTGCCTCCATACTGTCTGGGGTGAGGCTGTCGCACCCCCAGCCTCCAAGCCTTTTGCCTGGCTGTGCCCTCCTGCGACCGCCTGGTACACCCAGCTCACACCCCGCCAAGGGCATCGCTGCCTCCCTCCCTCGGACCCAGCCTGGCCCCCATCCCTTGCTCTGACGAATCACACGGGCCTGAAACCTGGGTCTAAGACTGCACGTGTAGGGGCTGGCGCGGTGGCATAGCCAGTGAAGCCGCCGCCTGAGATGTGGCATCTCGTATGGCTGCCAGTCGAGTCTCAGCTGCTCCGTTTCTGGTCCAGCTCCCTGCTAATGCGCCTGGGAGAGCAGTAGAAGATGGCCCAAGCACCTGGGCCCCTGCACCTGCGTGGGAGACCCAGAAGAAGCTCCTGGCTCCTGGCTTTGGTCTGGCCCAGCCCTGGCTGTTGTGACTGGGGAGTGAACCAGCAGAGGGAAGACCTCTCTCTCTGTCTCTCCCTCTCTCCGTAGAACTCTGAGTTTCAAATAAAAATAAACAAATCTTTTAAAAAAAAAAATAGGGAGAGAGAGAGACACCAGTTAAAAGGAAAAACCAGCTGCTTCCCGGGTGCTCAAGGACACTATACAGGGCATTGCACTCCATGGGAAACAGTCTTGTCTCACACCGCCAAGCCCTGGGCACAGATGTCCTGCAACTCAGCCCTCCCCACAGCCAGGAGCCTAGAACTCCATCCAGGTGTCCCACGTGGGTGCAGGGGCCCAAGCACTCGGGCCATCTTCCCATGCTTTCTCAGATGCATTAGCAGGGAGCTGGATTGGAAGCGGAGCAGCCTGCACTCCAGTCGGCGTCCATATAGGATGCTGGCATTGCAGGCGGTGGCTTTATCTACTATGCCACAACGCCAGCCAGCCCCCAGAAGAAAACTTTAAAACACCTGCCAGTCTCACTGTTCCAAGACACCATAGCATTTTTTAGAATGTATTTAGTGCGTGCGTTCCACGCACGTGGTTAGGAGACACAAATCAGAGTGGGCAGCGAGGATGGGGAGGCGGTCACTGCTGCGTTTCCTGGGAGTCCATCCACAGGCTTCTTCTTTTTTTTTTTTAGAGATTTATTTCATTTATTTGACAGAGTTACAGAGAGAGAGAGGTCTTCCATCCTCTGGCTTACTCCCCAAATGGCCACAACAGCCGAGCTGCACCAATCCGAAGCCAGGAGCTTCTTCCAGGTCTCCCACGCGGGTGCAGGGGCCCAAGGACTTGGCCATCTTCTACGGCTTTCCCAGGCCATAGCAGAGAGCTGGATGGGAAGTGCAGCAGCCGGGACTCGAACCGACACCCACACAGGGATGCCGGCGCTGCAGGCCAGGGCTTTAACCCACTGTGCCACAGCACCGGCCCCTCCACAGACTTCTGCTCTGTGCCTGTGAGCCTGCGTGTGTGCGTCTTCTTTCGCTGACTGACAGGCAGGTGTACAGCCACGCCCCCTTGGCAGTGCTGGGCGCTGCGTGGGAGACGCGTGCTGAGACGTCCCAGGAGTGGGTGTTCTGGTGCGCAGGTGAACGAGCAGGGTTCTTGTCTTCGCGCAAGAAAGAATTCAGGCGTGAGACAGAGGGTAGTGGGAGGTAAAATAGCAAGGTTTATTAGGGCCGGGACATCCATAAGGATGGATGGGCACCTCTCCAGACAGGACCTGGGAAAGAGTGACGGGGGAGGGGGTGGGAGGGGGGGAACAAGGTTACATGATTGAGTGGAGAGATCACACCTGGCCAGGCAGGCGGGCCGGCGGCTCAGCAGAGAGGCACAGGGCTGAGCGCAGATGTAACAGAAAAACTTCTGAGTTTTCTCTTGAAGGTCTGAAACAAAGGACTTTATGGATGCAAATGTTATCAGACAGGAGGAAGGGTGGGCAGGACCCCCTAGAGAATTGGGATCTGTAGCAGGGTGTTTGAGATGCAGATACTGGGCTGCACCTGGGAGATATCTGGTAGAAGGGGGCAGGGCAGGGCAGGATGTGAAGACCGGGCTGCCCCTGAAACATCATCAGGATGACCCTGAGATGCAGATGCTGGACTTAGACGTCTTCTCTTTAGGCCTCTATGTCGCACACACAGAAGCTCATAACTGACTTCCTGCCTAAGAAACGGAGTATCCTCCAGAACGCGGTCAGCTCCACGCGAGGCTGGTTTTCGTTCTGTCTTGGTTTCTGTTGTGCACAGTCAGCGCTCCATCCCAGAGGGTGCCAGCTCGGGCGCTCTGCTGGGTGACAAGTGGACGGCGTGCGGACCGCAGCCCGAGGCCTGACCTGTGCTCCCGGCAGCCTCGCTCCCACTGGCAGGAGCTGAGAACATGGCCGCTGCTCCCTGGTGGCCTTCTGGGCAGTGAGCACGGTTGCTCTGGGCCTCAGCTTTGCCTCCTCTGACCCCCGCGGGGCTTGTGGGAACCAGGCCTCTCGCTAGGCTCACTCCTGGGCCAGAGCCTGCTCCGGAGGCTGCGGCTGGCTAAGCCTGGCATGCAGTGCGCCACACTGCCCCACCCCCACTGCCCGGCAGCCTGTTCCCGGCCGCAGCTGCTTCTGCCCGCCGGGCCTCCGAGTCCCGGTCACCCTCCCCCGTCCGCCCCTTCCTGTGCCCTGCAGCCCACGTGGCTGGAGCCCATCTGCACACCCCCCTCATTCTCCAGCACCGAGGCCATCCAGGGACATTCCTCCGGCCATCTGGCCATGGTGTCTGTGTGCGGGGGAGGCCCCGGCCAACAAGGCGGAGCTGCAGCTTTGGGGAGGTGGACACAGAGGCAGCCAGGGCTGTGGACGGAGCAGAGGAGGAGGCTGCGGTACCAGTGCCGCTTCATCCAGGCACCTGGCCCTGTGGCGTCTGCCAGCTGGCGGGCGGGGTCCCGAGCCCACCTCCAGTGGCTGGGAGGGTCAGGCTCAGGGGCTGCGGGCACAGGCAGAGAGTGTGGTCCTCGGTGCAGGCTCCCCGCCCCTCGCCCACCCGGGTTGGCAGTGGCCTCAGGACAAGGGTCAGGGCGAGGTCACAGGTGCAGGGTGAGGTCACCCTGGATCTTCAAGGCTCCTTCCTCTCTCCCTGCTTCCTGCCGGCCCTCCCCACTGCCCGAGGTGACTGGCACTGCGTGCAGGCGCTGACCCCGCCTCTGTCTTGCAGGAGGAGGAGCAGGACTCCGAGAGTGAGAAGGGCCTGTTCCCCGAGGGGCCTGAGGAGGAGGATGGTGAGTACACAGCGGGGCTGGGGCCGGCTGGCCAGGGACGCCAGGAGCTGGGGTATGAGGCTGCAGGAGGGACCTGCTCCACTGTGACCCTCCCCCGCACCTGCCTGCCGCTCGCCAGGGACGCCAGGAGCTGGGGTATGAGGCAGCAGGAGGGGTGTGGACGGAGGAACCTGCTCCCCTGTGCCCCTCCCCCCCACCTGTCTGCCGCCCACCTCCTTGAACGTGGCACTTCCTCCTGTGGCCCAGGGGTCTGCTCCTGTCCCGTGGCCTGAGCTGGCTGCAGGGGTGCTGGGATGCTGTTAGGGACCGGGACACGCGGTGGGGGGGCACGGTGGCCACAAGGGGGAGGCTCCTGAAGTGGCCCAGTGCACACCCACCACACCCACTCCCATTCCCTCCTGCCACCACTTAACTCAGCAGAGTGGGAGGGGCTTCAGACCTCAGCTGGCGGAAGAGAGAGGGTGGGCCCCGCCCCCGCCCCCCTGCAGGGAGCAGCTCTGCTTCCCGGGGCTAATTGATTAGTGGCGCTGAAATTATCTCCCCACGAGGGTTCAGCAGGCAGAGAGGAAGCCCCCTCCCCCGCTCCCCAGGGGCCTCTCACACTGGGAATCGGCGGCATCTGGGTATGGCCGGCCCAGGGAGCGCACAGCCAGCCAGTCAGACCTGCCCCCGCCGTGCTCCGGCCGAAGGCAGAGCCGAGCGTCGCTGGTTTTCTCGGTTGCCTCTTTGGGTCCCACAGTGAGTGTTTGTCCCGTGCTCGGCCCCGCGGGGCAGGATCGCGCTCAGGGCTTCTGCTCCCAACTCCTCTCTGTTTTTAAATTGTTATTTATTTCTCCGACAGACAGAGAGAACTCCCATCTGCAGGTTCTCCCCCCAAATGCCCACAACAGCCAGCCTGGGCCCTGCCAGCACCGGGAGCCCAGGTCCCACACGAGTGGCAGGAGCTCAGTCTCTCTTTTTTATATATATATTATTTATTTTTATTTATTTGAGAGTTAGAGTTACAGACAGTGAGAAGGAGAAACAGAGAGAAAGGTCTTCTGTCCACTGGTTCACTCCCCAGATGGCTGCTACGGCCAGCGCTGCGCCGATCCAAAGCCAGGAGCCAGGTGCTTCCTCCTGGTCTCCCATGGGGTGCAGGGACCAAGCACTTGGGCCATCTTCCACTGCCTTCCTGGGCCACAGCAGAGAGCTGGCCTGGAAGAGGGGCAACCGGGACTAGAACCTGGCGCCCATATGGGATGCCGGCGCCGCAGGCGTAGGGTTAACCAAGTGAGCCACGGTGTATTTTTAAAAAAAGCATTGGAGTGGGCATTGAAGTCAGGCCTCCAGCGTGGGATGTGGGCCTCCCCAGCACGAGTCCGAGTGCCCATCCAGGCTGTCTTGGAGCGACTCCCTGGCCTGCTGGACGTTCTAACTCCAGCCCCCACCCCGGGGCTCGCTAGATACCCGGGAACGAATGAAGAACGGGGGAATGATGCTAGAAACGTGGTAGCTGCCTCCCGAGGGGACGGTCCAGTCTCGGCACTTGGCTGGGGCGGGGGAGCCTGCAGGGCGCCGGCCAGCGCGCTCTCTCTCTCTCTCTCTCTCTCAAGATTTATTTATTTGTTTGAAAGGCACAGTGAGAGAGAGAGACGCTGGCCGACGGGAGGCTCCTGGCCAGCAGGCCTGCTCTCGCCGAGCGGGCAAGAGGAGGTCAGCGGCCCTGGGCCCTGGCACGCGGCCCGGCCAGCCTCCCGAGAGGCCGCGCCCGCCTGTCTGGCACAGAGCGCGTTGAGATGTAGGCTGCGGCTCTGCCGGCGCCAGGTGCCAGGGCGCGCGGGGGTGCAGGCAGGCGGGCAGCTCGGTGCCGGCTAGCCTGGCCTTGGAGGGGAGCTCCAGGGCTGGAGCGGTTGAGTTCACGTGCCCCGGGGTGGCTGGCAGTGTGCCCGGCCCTCTCTCCGCCCCGGGAGAGGGAAGGGGGCTGCTGAGTTGGGGGTGGGGGATCGGGGGGGGGGCACAGCGTCCGAGCCGGCCTCCTCTCCGTAGGAGACGCCTTCTCCTTCAAGTACAGCCCCGGGAAGCTGAGGGGGAACCAGTACAAGAAGATGATGACCAAAGAGGAGGTGGAGGAGGAGCAGAGGTAGGGAGCCCCGCCCACACCCTGCCTCTTCCTTTCGGGGTTGGGGTCTTTCCTGCCTGCTCGCTCTGAGCCGGGCTCCATCCCTGCAGGCCCTGGCTGGGAGGAGGCCCCTGGGGACTGGAGCGGGGGCGGCCTGCCACTGCTGCTGGTTCCCTCCCCCGCCACACACAAGAAAATGAGACATCAGCAAAGAGCCCCCAGGCAGGCGGCCGGCTGCTCACTTGTGCGCGGAGCCCACGCAGAACTGACAAAACTGATCCATCACTTCAGGACCGCCGGCCCCACCCAGGCCCGCAGTGTCATTTTGGATCTGTTCTGCTCTGGGGAGCTGGAGGCCAGGGCAGCTGCCAGCCAGAACTGGGGCCTCCCGCTTGCCGGCAGGACGCCCCCTGCGCCCCTCTGGTCTTCCCTCGGCATCCTCTCCCCACTCCAGGCCCGCGGCTGAGGGGTGTGGGGCAGCCGGCTATGCATGGGGGGCACAGGTGGTCTGTCCCGAGACCCTGGGCACACGGGAGCTGCCTGGAGCCTGCGGTTCAAGCACAAGTCCCAGGGGCAGCGGCGCCATTTTCTGAGCCTGGCAACCCCGAGGGGCCGGCGGGGTGACCACAGGCACAGGGCTCGGGGCCGGGGCGCAAGACAGAGCTCAGGCCTGGGTGGCTGGGTGGCGCTGGCGTCAGCGCTTTGCAAGCCCAGTGTGACCCGCTTTGCTGCCTTTGTATTTCAGGATTGAGCTCACCTCTGACCTCACTTCCCTGTAGCGCGTTCCCTAGGTCCTGAGCCACAAAATTCCTTGCGTATCCTTTTGGTAAGGAGACAGATTTCCCAGGCCAGCAGGCCCCCCATCCCGCGCGCTCCTGTGTCCCCGTGGTCCCAGCCTCCCCTCCTCCACCACCTTCCACCTAGAAGTCCAGGTTCGCCCCTCGGAGCCCTTTGCCAGCACGGGGGTCGCTGGCAGCGAGGGGCCTTTCCCCAGGGGTGGAGGTTCCTGGAGCCCCCCCCAGGGGGGCCGGCTGGATGCTGTGCTAGAGAGGTAGGGGGCCACAGGAATGGGCTGTGGTCACCCAGCGGCCTTGTCACATGGCTGGCGTGGCTTGGGTCTGGCCCTGGGGAGGGCGTGGCAGAAACCCCAGGACCCGGACAGAACAGGCAGGGTTCTGTGATCACAGCCAGGGCTGGCCGGCCCCCGCCCACAGCCCACCGCCTGCAGCTATCAGTCCAGTGCACCTGGAGCCCAGCCACGCCCACTGGTTTTCCGGTGGTCTGCGTCCGTCTGTCCGGGTGGCAGACTGGGTTGTTTCCACAGGGACCGTCTGGCCCACGAATCCTAAACAGTACCTGACCCTCTGCAGAAGGGGGCTGTGGCCCTGGACAGGAGGGTGGGGGGAAGGCCTGAGCTTCGCAGGCCTCTGCTCGGTGTGGACCTGGGTGGACCTGGGTGGACCTTTAGAACAGGAGAGGCCGGGTGGTGGATGGCGGGCCAGGCCTCAGGCAGGGACCAGACTGCTACTGCTCCCCGCGATCAGAGCCGGGACCTCAGAGCTGAGACTTCCCAGGACCGGAGGGGGCCCTGCACCGCCCCCCAACCCCAGCTCCACCCCTCCCATACCCTGCCCAGGCCTCTGCTCTGGGGTGAGGCTGATCTGCAGCCAGCCTGAGTCGAGGAGGAGAGGCTGGAGTTCATGTCCACCCCCATGGCTGCCCGCCCCCAGCATGCTCCCCACGGCCCTCGCCTGCCTGTGACACTGCCCGCTCCCTCCCCTGCATGTGGTCGGGAACTCTTGGGCTTGCAGAGGCTACTGGGCTGTCTGTGTCTCTTTGTCCCCGGTCTGACAGCTCCCCTGGGGGCTGGGAGAACCCCTGCCAGCTGCGTGCAGAGAACTGCCCTGGGCCGGCCACAGTGACACGCGTGCTGTCGTCACACCGCCAGAGGCACAGGCCAGCGACAGGCCGCTGTCCTCTTTCCTGCCAAGTCCTCCCTCCCGAGCTCTGTGTCTGTTTTCTGATTCCTTTCCTGGCACTCAGGGCCCCTGTTAAGTTGTGAGGTGGTTAAGGATGCATAGCGCAATTTTATTTTGCTTTACATATTTATTTATTTGAAAGGCAGAGTGACAGAAAGGGAGGGAGGGAGAGGAGAGAGAGAGAGAGAGAGAGAGAGAGAGAATATGAATTACCCCAAATGGCCGCAGTGGCTGGGGCTGGGCCTGGCCAAAGCCAGGAGCTTGTTCTAGATCTCCCACACGGGCGCAGGGGCCCAAGCCCTCGGGCCGTCGTGGCTGCTTTCCCAGGCGCGTCAGCAGGGAGCTGGCGTGGAAGTGGAGCAGCCGGGCCTCGAGCGGGCGTACACGTGGGATGCTGGAGCTGCAGGCAGCAGCGGTGCCCGCTGTGCCGCCGTGCCGCCGTGCCGTCCCCCGCCCCTGGCTTTGAATGCATTCGCTCAGTCAACTCATTCCTGTCGAGAGCCCAATTCCTCCGTGGTTGCTGGTCCCAGCATTCTCCAGAGGCCCGGGTCTGCAGCGGGCCGAGGGGCAGCAGGTGCTGGCTGGGCTCTCCGAGTGTTGACCGGGCAGTCCCGTCCTCCATCTCCCACAGATGGAGGTCCGTCAGCCCCGAGGGCAGAGAGTGGTGGGGGCTGTAATCTCCAGGCAGCGGCTGCTTCAGACCCTGCACATCCGCCCCCTCCGGTCTTCCTCTGCCCCGTGGGTTCACTCACTCCCCCCTCCCCACCCCAGGGGAGCGGCCTCCCCATCGCCTCCCAGAGCCCGTGAAGCTGGCACGCCTTGGCTGGCCGGCAGCCTGGCTGGCCCGCAGTTTGGCTGGCCCGCGGCCTGGCTGGCCCGCAGCATGGCTGGCCCGCGGCTTGGCTGGCCCGTGGCTTGGCAGGGCAGAGGGAAAATGTGGCTGCTGGCCCCTCCGTCGTCACAGGCTGGGCAGGCGTGGACAGAGCGGAGCCCCGGCTTCGGCACTCGGAGCTCTGCACCGCTGTCTCGGCCCTTTGGGGAGTGCACACCACTCCGCGGGCAGGTGTCTTGCCCTCCGGGTAGAGGCGGAGGCCCCACAGCTGTCCTGGTTCTTCCCGCGGTGTGTCCATCAGGCCTGCATTGGAATCGGCCTGTCTGGAAATGCACGTTGACTCCAGCCTCCAGAAGGGGGCGCCAGAGGGACAAAGTACACCTGTTCCCGTGAAAATCCGCATAGAAAGCTGGGCCAGTCTTTGATGGACTGCGGGGGCGGGCACAGAGGGGACAAACCCAGCCCGGGGAATCGGAGATGACCTAGGATGATAGGCACTTCGTGAGCCCAACCGCGCAGGCGGAGATCAGAGAGGCTGCAGGACTCAGCTGCCCGGTACCCGGGTTCCTCCACGCCACGGATGCTCGGCGCGTCCGTGGCAGCCAAGCTGGGCAGGATCAGCCCAGGGCAGTGCACCTCTGATGGTGCCAGAGCCGGCCTTGCTTCAGGCACGAAGAGCGTGTTTGAAAAACCAGCGCCCCACGTGGCTTCTGCAGTTCCAAAGGTTCCCCGTCCTCCTCCCGCCTCCCCGAATCCTCTCCCACGGCACCCGAGAGGCGGGATGAGTGACATACATGATCTCTTTTCTCCCTATTTTTCTTTGCAGAACTGAAGAATAACGAAGTTACCCTTAGCCTCCTCCTACAGGTGTTTCCTTTGGGCACCCTAAAAGCCTAAGAGATAAAGTGGGAACCCCAGCGAGGACCCCCACAGGCTCCCCATGTCTGCTGTGTGGACTGGCGGGACCCTGGGGACCCCTTGGCTCTGCCCTGTCCAGCTGACGGGTCCTGAGTTTGAGCCCACCCCCGCTCAGGCTCCTTCACCCCGCCCCTCCCACCATAGGTAGCCCTGAGTGCAGGCTCCCAGCCTCTTCTGTCCACACTGAAACCAGGACACAAAAGACCTTGAGGTGGGACAGCCCGGGGAGGCGCTCACCACCAGCTCCCCTTCCCTGCGGCCCGCCTCCCTCTGGCCGCCCCGGTGAGAGACGCCCCGTTGATACCGGGCAGCAAAGAGCCAGTGCCGCGGGAACCATCTCACACTAGAGAAGCCTTGGACCCGGGCCTCTCGCGCCCAGAGGCCTTGGCCCTGGCGTCCCCACCAGCCCCGCCTAGAAGCAATAACAGGGCTCGCTGAGCACGGGGCGCTGGGCCCTGCCTGTGGCTGGAGGGTCTCAGAGATGAGACGTGGCCACACGACGAGACCAGTACCAGATCAGTTTCTTGGAGTTTTCTATCTGACAACATTTATACTATACCCGCAGATTTTTCAGCTCTTAGATTTGTTGGTTAAAACTCTTTTTTTTTTTTTTTAAAGTTTGTAGAAAAAAAAGGTTTTCCATTAAAGGCAGGCCAGGAGATGCCCGTTCCCAGTGCCAGGGGCTTCCCTCTGGGCGGGACGCAGCCAGCCAGCCGATGCCTTCCACGCAGAGCCACGCCCACAAGTGGGAGCCCCCTCCCCAGGCTGGTGTCTCGTGGGTACCTAAGTCGTGACTCGCCCACGCGTGGCCGTGGAGGCCTGTCTGCAGACTCCCTGACCGCGGCCTGCGGCTCCCGAGCCCCCTGGCCTCCTGGTAGCTTGGAGCCCTGTATTTAGCCTTTATTCAGTCCAATAAATTTTGAGTAGATGACCTCGGCGACCGTGTGTTTCTTCAGCTGGCTTCGTTTCAGTCCCACAGAACGCGAGGCCGCGTTCACTTTGGTGCCTGTTACTCTCCGGCAGAGGGCGAAGGCACATGGCCGCCCTGGCGGGAACACAGACCCACACGGGGAGACACGCACACATGCCCGCCGCGCAGCCTGCTCCCTGGGCCTCCGCTCCAGGGGTACAAGGTACAGCTCGGAGCCCTGTGCGCCCACAGGGAACTGACTGCCGGCACCACGTTCCCGGGTGACAAAGGAGGCTGGGAGATGGGACTCCGGTACCCAGTCCTGGAATCTTCTCAGGGCGGGACACGTCCCGCGTGCCAGGCGGAAGATGGGGCGTCAGGCCGGTGCCGCTGCAGCCGGAACGGGAAACGCTTCCCAGAGTGTTCGGGAAATGGACTTAGAAGATGTTTATTCTGGTGCGCAAAAGATTCTGAAATTCATGCATCTGAGAGACTCCCCAAAAGCAATTCATGCAAATGCATATTATGAAAAAACGAAGCATGGATTTAAAAATGATTTTCCTGCCAAACTTCTCAATCCTAATTTTATTTGAAAGGTAAATATAGAGAGAGAGGAGACAGTGACAGAGAGAGGAGATTGTCTGTCTTTGGGGTCACTCCCCCAGCACCCCCAGCAGCTAGGGCTGGGCCAGAGCGAAGCCAGGAGCCGGAACTCAATCCGGGTCTCCCACGACCTACATAGCAGGAACCCAAGTCCCGAGCCGTCACCTGCTGCCTCCCACCGTGCACGCAGGCAGGGAGCCGGGGGGGGGGGGGGGAGTGGAGGAGCCAGGACCCCATCCCAGGCACTCTGTGTCCGGGCAGAATCAGCAGCTGGTGAAATGCCCTCCCCTATGCCCTGCATTCTATGCCCTGCATTTTACTCCACGAACTTCGTGAAGCCCCGTTGTTCCTTAGACATCTGAGACACACACACACACACACACCCCGCCTTCCCGGCCCTGGGCAGTGACCGGCTGCTGCTGGCCTCGCAGCTGTGCCACAGCTCGCGGATGGGCGTGGAACGCGACTTCCTGGCAGGGAGGGGCTGAGAGGGCTGGCCCCTGAAGGTGCCCGGCCTGCGGTGAGATGTGCAGGGGGAACCGCGGCAGAAACCGGAGGAGGGAGATGCGGCCACAAGGACCAGCCTGGGGCCCCGGCGGCGCTCAGAGACCGTCCTGGTGCGGCATTTGCTGCAGCGCTGCGTCCCCACCCCTGCTCGCCGGGTGTGTGCCGGGGAGCTGTCCCACGCCGACACCCGAGCTGTGGCTGAGCCTCAGAGAGAGAAAGGAAAATGCCCGCGGCCCCAGAGGCCGCGCGGAGCCAACACTGAGGCCGGTCTCGGGCCTCACGCGTCCCCTGATGCACTGGGCATCTGTGCGCATCTGGAAACGCCTGCCCTCGCCCCTGTGCCAGGCACCCTCGTGTCCGAAGCCGCCCCACGGTCCACACCCGTGGCGTTCTCTGCACGCAGGCTGTCTCTGACCTCTGTGGCAACAGGCTCTGAAGCCCCTTGTTGGGACACACGCTCCTGGGTGCTTCACCGGGACATGCGCCATTAACAATAAAACGAGGCCTGATAAAGTGGGGAAACTGAGGCACGGTGACCCCAGGGGAGTCCCCAGGCCTCCAGCCACCCAGTGCCTAAAACCCTCGGGTTGAGAGCGTCCTGCTGAACCGCTCCCGCGTGGGCAGGGGGTTCCGTTTGTTCTCTGTGTTTCCTTCTTATCGTGCGGCTGGGGACGGGAGCGGCCCGGCCCGCGTCTCCCTCCCTGCGTCAGGGGCGTCTTTGTCCTCTTGTGCTTTCTTCCCGGCAGACTGCAGAAGGAACAGCTGGCCGCCATCTTCCGGCTCATGCGGGACAACAGCGAGACGTTCGGGGAGATGTCGGAGGGCGACGTGCAGGAGCAGCTGCGGCTCTACGACATGTAGGCCGGCCCCGCCGCCACAGCGCCTCTGCTTCCACACCTCTGTAGGCTTAGTTTTGTCTTAGACGTCTAGACTGCGTTGCGTGGATTTGTCGATTGTTCTGTAGCATCAGCCAAGACCGTCTTCGGCTTCTGCCTGCTGGTGAGGTCCCAGCTGTTGCGTAGGGCAGGGCCTGAGGCTGTTGCCATATTTTTTAAGATTTATTTATTTGAAAGGCAGAGTCACAGAGAGAGGGAGAAGAGAGATCTTGCATCTGCTGGTTCGCTCCCCAAATGGCCACGATGGCCAGGGCTGGTCCACGGTGAAGCCAGGTGCCAGGAGCTCCATCCAGGCCTCCCCAGTGGGTGGAGGGGCCCAGTCGACCATGCCCTCGCGCCTGCAGGGGGGTGCGTTCCCAGGACTGGACTCTGGAGACGCCACCGGACACACAGCCCACGTCACAGTACCTGGGTTCAAACCCTGGCTCCCATTCTGCCTCCTGCTTCCTCCCAGCGCCCACCCTTGGAGACAGCAAACGGTGGCCCTGAGAGCTGGTTCCCTGCCACCCCGTGGGAGACTGGAGCTGAGTTCGCCAGCTGTGGCCTGGTCCAGTCCTGGCTGCCGCGGGCATTCGGGAAGTGAATCGGAGGATCGGAGTTTTCTGTCCCTCTGCCTCTCAAATAAAAACAACTTTTTAAAGTAAAAAGAAGACGGGCCGATGTGTGGGGACAGAACCTTAGCAGAAAGCGTTCAACAAGGTGCCCACGTGGAGCGCCCGGGGTACCGGGTGTCGCCCCGCTCCGGTGAGCGGGCGAACGAGTGACGTCGACGACGATGATGGAAATGGTGGTGGCCCCCTTGCGCCACGGGGGCTGAGGGCCTCCCTGGCAGGAAAACCCACAGTCTGCAAGAGGCAGCCCACGCAAGTTCTTAGAAATAGTTTCCGAATAAAGCTGAATGACACTGCACAGAATGAGTGCCGTGCAGCCACCTGCGGTGGTCACTGGGCAGCGCCTCGCTCCGTGCCGGGAGCCCCCAGGAGCTTCCCCGCTGCGGTTACGTCGCTCCTCCGCCGGTGCTCTGGGGTCTGCGTCACATCCAAAGGACAGCGCTGGGTTTTATGTATTTATTTGAAAAGCAGAGCGAGCGAGAGAGAGGGAGAGAGCGAGAGAGATCTTCCATTGCTGTTTCGCTCCCCATAGTAGCTCCAGCCCAAAGCCAGCACCCGGAACTGCCTCCTGCCCTCCCACGCAGATGGAGGGATCCAACTGTTAGCCGTTCCCGCTGCCTCCCAGGGTGTGCCTTGGCGGGAAGACGAGCCAGGGCCCAGCCCCGGGCACTCTGCTGTGAGCTGTGGCAGCTTAACCCACAGAGTCACAACCCTGCCCCCACCTGCCCCCCGGCTTTTAATGATCAATTTTATCTTGTTTATCAATGATTTCATTTTTTTAAATTTAAGAATGGTTTGTTCCCTTTCTCAAATCCCAGGGATCCTGTACATCATTTATTTTTCTTTTTTATATTGCTTTTTAAAATTATTTATTTATTTGAAAGGCAGAGTTACACAGAGAGGAGAGGCAGAGAGGTCTTCCACCCGCTGGTTCACTCCCCAGATGGCTGCAACGGCCAGAGTTGAGCTGATCTGAAGCCAGGAGCCAGGAGCTTCCTCCAGGTCTCCCATGCAGGTGCAGGGCCCAAGGACTTGGGCCATCTTCCACTGCTTGCCCAGGCCATAGCAGAGAGCTGGACCAGAAGAGGAGCAGCTGGGACTTGAACCAGCGCCCATATGGGAGGCCAGTACTGCGGTGGCTTAACCTGCTATGGCACAGTGCCAGTCCCCAACATCATTCTTTTCTTTTTCTTTTTTTTTTTTTTTTAAGATTTATTGAATTATTTGAAAGGCAGAGAGAGAGAGAGAGAGGTCTTCCATTCACTGGTTCACTCCCCAATGACTGCCAACGGCTGGAGCTGAGCTGATCAGAAGCCAGGAGCCAGGAGCTTCTCCCAGGTCTCCCATGCAGGTGCAGAGGCCCGAGGACTTGGGTCATCTTCCACTGCTTTCCCAGGCCGTAGCAGCTGGATTGGAAGTGAGACTTGAACTGACACCCATATGGATGCCGGCACTGCAAATGGTGGCTTTACCCACTATTCTACTGGGCCAGCCCCTAGTTTTTAACGCTTTATTTGTTTGTTTGTTTTGGGACAGGCAGAGTGGACAGTGAGAGAGAGAGAGAGAGAGAAAGGTCTTCCTTTTTCTGTTGGTTCACCCTTCAATGGCCGCTGCGGCCGGTGTGCTGCGCTGATCCGAAGGCAGGAGCCAGGTGCTTCTCCTGGTCTCCCATGGGGTGCAGGGCCCAAGCACTCGGGCCATCCTCCACTGCACTCCCGGGCCACAGCAGAGAACTGGCCTGGAAGAGGGGCAACCGGGACAGAATCCGGCGCCCCGACCGAGACTAGAACCTGGTGTGCCGGCGCTGCAGGCAGAGGATTAGCCTAGTGAGCCGCGGCGCCGGCCAAGGTTTTATTTATTTGAAAGGCAGAGCAGAGGGAAGAGGGAGAGATCTCCATCATTGGTTTGCTCCTCAAATGAACGCGACAGCCAAAGCAGGAGCCAGAACTCCTGGTCTCGTGGGTGGCAGGGCCCATCTCCCGCCGCCTTCCCAGGCGCATCAGCAGGGAGCTGGGCTGAAAGCGGAGCAGCACAGTGCTCCCGTAAGGGACGCAGACGTCAAGTGGTGGCTTAACCCGCAGTGCCACGACACCGCACGTTTGTTTTAATTTTTATTTATTTGAGATACGGAGGGAGACAGAGAGCGCTCCTACCCACTTGCTCACTCTCCAGTGCCCACAACAGCTCTGGCTGGGCCAGGCTGAGCCAGGAGCCGGAGCACAATCCGTGTCTCCCAGGTGGGTGGCCAGAACTGTTAACCGAGCCATCGCCTGCTGCCTGCAAGGGTGCGCGCCAGCAGGGAGCAGTCAGGAGCCGGAGCCAGCGCCTGACTGCTGGGACAGACGCAGCCCCTCCCCAAGCCCATGGTGGGAGCCCCCCCCGCCCCCCTGCCCACGGCTGGCCTGCAGCCTGTGCTGTTCCCACCGCTCAGGTCCTCTCCCGATGATGCCAGGCAAGGATGGCTCAGGCGTACTGAGTCCAAACCCTCCCCGCAGGGGGAGTGTGCACCGCGGCCGCTCTGGGGACTTGTGTCTGCGAAGATGTCGCCCTGCGGAGAAGTTCCAGCTCCACTGGTCTCCACAAGAGGAGAGCGGCCGCACGGAGAAGCCACAGCAGAGCGGCTTCAGGCCCAGAATGGCCAGGCCCCACGCTGCCACTTCTTCCCTGCCTGCACGTTCTCATGTAGTAGACTAACGCTCCTCACGGTGGCAAGACGGCTGCAGGCACTCAGCTGTCGCATCTGGTTCGTGTCTCCAAGAGGGAGGGACCTAATCCAGCTGCCTCTCCCCAACCTTCCTCACATCCCAGTTGGCCAGAATCTGTCATGTGTCCCTGTTTCAACCAATGGTGGGCAAGGAGATGGGCCCACTGTAGGTGGCCGAGATGCCTGGAGCCAGCACCCGCTGGACACGAGGCCACAGAGGAGGGAGTCCCTGAGCCTCAGGGGCCCTGTGAGGAGACGGGGCAGGGATGGGTGTTGGGTGCACACCAGCGCTCCTGGTAGTGCCTGGGTTTCCTGGGAGGCTGCAGAAGCCACGGTCTGAAGTCCCCAGCATGCCCCTCCTCCTAACCGGGTGTGCTCGGGCCCTCGCCAGGCCGTGGGTGCTTCCTGGAGACGGTGCCGGCTCGCTGTGCCTGCTGGCGGGCCCCAGTGCCACGTCCTCGGTTAGCGCGGGCCCCGTTATCATTCCTGCCACCTCCCGCGAGGTGCGCTCACCAGCTCCCCCGTGAGGCTGAGTGGACATGCCTGTGCTGTAAGCAAAGGCCTCCCAGGGACACCCAAGTCCCCTGGCGGCCAACGGAGCCCTCTCCACACCAAACCAGTTTCAGACTGACAGGCACGCATCTCACGGGCTCTCAGTCTGGCTATGGGCCAGGAAGCCCCCGGGGCCTGCCGAAGAACAGCCCTGCTGTTGGTGCCCGTCCTGAAACACTGCTTGGCGTCCACGGCAAGAACGCGATACAAGCCGTGACGGCCGGAGTCAGGACACACCCTGTCCGCTCGCGAGTGCCAGGAGGAGGATCGACACCTTCAGGCCTCTAAGAAGCGTCAGGCAGGGGAGCGGAAAACCGTGGGAGGGGAGAGCAGGCACAGGGGGACCGCCCCAGAGGCAGGCCAGGCACCACTGCCCCCGGGCCCAGAGCCGCGGGCCGGCTGCAGCCAGCCCAACCGGAAGCTTCCCAGGTGGGGCTGACAACACTGGGTGCTGGGGCGTCTCCTGAGCAGTGGGGACCACTCACAGCTTGGCCTCTCGCCCTGCCCTCGCCCCCTCTCGGCTCTGGGCCCTCCCCAGCCAGCAGCACCGCTCCTCCCGCGTGGGGGCGGGTCTGCCCACAGTTCATTCCTGCCACCGGCACCTGCTGTCTAGACGCTCTTGAAGCCGCCCCTCTCCCGGGGCAGCCGCGGGACAGAATTAGCTGGCTCCTCACTTCCTGTCCTCAAAGCCTTGTCCAGCTGCTGTGTTGGGAGAAGGCTTCATCCACGCAACTTGGACGTGACCTACAGAGAGGCTTCATTTGCTGGGGCCGGCATTGCGGTGCAGCGGGTTAAACCGTCGCCTGCCGAGCCGGCACCGTAGACCCAGGGTCAGTGCCGGTGCCAGCTGCTTCGCTGTGGCCCAGCTCCCTGCTAACGTGCCTGGTGAGGCAGCAGCAGGTGGCCCCCGCCGCGCAGGTGGGAGACCAGCGTGGAGTTTCTGGCTCCTGGACGTGGCCTGGGCCACATCTGGCTGCTGCAGCGTTTTGGGAAGTGAACCAGCCAATGAGAGATGAGGCTCTGTCTCTGCTGCCCTTTCAAGTAAATAAATCTTAACGAGAAAACCAGCCACAGTCTCCCTGAGGGCCTCCCAGCACTCACAAACCCAAGTTCATCTTCTGGGCAGAACACTGGGCCTGGCAGGAAGGGTGCACGGCGAGACCTCAGCCGCGGCGTCAGCTCCCCTGGGGAGACCAAGAGGCCGTGCCTGCAGCAGGACCAGATCCCGCCTGGACCCCGCCACCCCCAGGGCCTCCTGGACCCCGCCACCCCCAGGGCCGCCTGGACCGTGACATCCCCAGGGTTCCTGGACCGCACCACCCCCAGGACCACCTGGACCGTGCCATCCCCAGGGCCTCCTGGACCCCACCACCCCCAGATCCCGCCTGGACCCCGCCATCCCCAGGGCCACCTGGACCCCGCCACCCCCAGGGCCTCCTGGACCCCGCCATCCCCAGGGCCACCTGGACCCCGCCATCCCCAGGGACACCTGGACCCCGCCACCCCCAGGGCCGCCTGGACCCCGCCACCCCCAGATCCCGCCTGGACCCCTCCACCCCCAGGACCTCCTGGACCGCGCCTGCCCTCTGGGGTCCTGCCGGTCTCTGCAGGGGGAGAGGGGTTCCTACTTCAGCAGGTAAAAGTCGCCTTTCTTCCTGCTCAGAGCCTCGAGGGAGGGGAGCCCTTCCAGAAAGGCAGTGCCCTGTCTGCAGCACCGCCCCCGGGGTTAGGCTCTCCCAGCCGCGTCCGCAGTCCGTGCCCGGGGCCCAGAACGATGGCCAAGCCTGGGCGGTCCTGTTTGATGTCCTTACTGCCCCTGTCACTCCGCTTAGTCCCCACCGCCACCCCCGCCCCCTCCGAGGCGCCAGTCCCTCAGAACCTGTATACGACACCAGAAACCACCGTCGTCGTCTTTGGTAGCCGCAAGGAGGGAAGGCTACACTTCCGGGAATGGAGAGGCCTACTTCCGGGGAAGAAAGTCCTTGTCAAGGTCCCTGCGGGTGCCTAAAGGTCAGCCAACGAGGATCAGACCCGCCTCACCCTTTAACCCCTGAGTCTATAAAAGGAGCCCTCCCAGCCTCTGACGCGCGACTTCCCCGGCCCCCGCTCTGTTGCTCTGCTGGGACCGGGGAACCTCGCCCGGGAGCGGAACCCCAACAAAAGCCTGTGAATGAATCGATTCGTCTGCCTGGGCAGATCCGTTACGCGCCGGACACCCTGCAGGCCTCACAGAGGCAAAGACAGGACAGAGCGCGTCCATCGCGGTTCACCCCCACAGTCCCTCGGCCTCCGGGGTGGGCCAGTCTCCCACATGGTGGCAGGAGCCCAGTTACCGGGCCATCATCCCCGCCTCCCAGGGTCAGCCCCAGCGGGAGCCCGGGCCGGGCATCACGCTCAGGCGCTCCGGCGCCCGGCTCGGGCATCTCAACTGCCCACTCCTTCCTCATTCTCCCGAGTGCCACTCGGCGGGCCGGGCTGCCCAGTGTTAACGCCCCATGACGGGGTGGGCTGTGGCGTGTGGGGTAAAGCCGCCGCCTGCAGGGCCGGCATCCCATATGGGCGCCGGTTCGAGTCCCAGCTGCTCCACTTCCCATCCAGCTCTCTGCTGTGGCCTGGGAAGGCAGTGGAAGATGGCCAAGTCCTTGGGCCCTGCACCCGCGTGGGAGACCTGGAAGCTCCTGGCTCCCAGCCCCGGCCACTGCGACCATTGGAGGAGTGAACAGCGGATGGAAGACCTCTCTGCCTTTCAAAATAATGATAATAATAATAATAATAACGTCCCCATGAGTAAAACCGAGCGCCTGTGTTCGGGAGCTGATCCTCGGGACAGACTCCCACGCGTGGGCGGCTGCTGGTCAGGCCACTCCCCACGGCCAGGCCAGCGCCAGGCCCGCGCGCCCCTCCAGCCCTCAGCGCCCCTCGCGGCTCTCCCTGGACACCGCTCGTTCGTGTCCGGTCCCGTCTCCTGTCCACCACCGTCCCTGCGGCCGTGGCGTGAGCTCAGCGAGCCCCGCACACTTGCGCCATCTTGTCGATCTCCAGCAGTGTCCGTGTGTGTGAGAGAGGGGCTTTCATGAAAAAGTCGACAACCTGGGTAATCCCCGCAAAACCCCAACTTAAAAAACAGAGACAACCCCAGAAAACGCACGACTCCACCTGCACTGTAAGTAGCCCCTAGCACCGGGAAAGATCGCGAGCTTCAACCAATCACTGCCAGGGCTTGCCCTCCGCGGCGGCTCAGTGGCTCGAGCACCTGCCAATCTTTCCCGAAGGCAAAGGTCTAAATTGCTATTGGACACTGCACTCTCCTCGCTCCAAGGCTGGGAAGTCCCGGATTTCCGGCCACACCCAAGGGCGGTGTTCCTTAGTGATTGACAGGGATATTGACCAATGAGAAGTCCCAGCTGACCGTCCCGCCCACCAGAAGCCTCCGCGGCAAAGGCTGCTGGGTGTTTGGGGACGCCCGCTTCCTCCTCCCGCGAGCTGCGTAGCCCGTGTCTGGTCCCTGCGCTAAAGTGGCCCGTCAGGGGCGCCCTCCTGAGGCGGCCCGGAATCCGAGTTATCCGAGCCCGCGTGGACGAGTGCCGGCCCCGCGCCGAGTTCCCGCTCGCGGGCAGGCTGTGGGCCGGGCCCGGGGGAGTCCAGTCCTTGCCCGTAGCAGGTGCACCGTGCGGGGCTCGGATCGCAGAGACGCGGGGAGCCGGCCCTGCCCCCGCCCCCGGGCGACCGCGGAGCTCGGCCCGCCGTCCTGCCGCTGGGTCCCGGCGTGCCTGTGCTTGCCCTCGCACAGGTGTCCCGGGTCACTTCCGGGGCTTGGCCAAGGCGCCCCTGAGTAGTGAAGCCAGCCGGGACTCGCCGCTCGGGTCCTTTGCCTCCCCCGCCCAGTCTGGCCGCGGGGCTCCACACCCCGGGGTGGCCGGGCCAGCACCTCTGGCCGGGTGGTGACCTGGTCCCCTGAGAGTGAACAATCCCTCAGCGGGAGTTGCCTCACGCGTACAGAGCTCGGAGTGAGTCCGCTCTAATCCGGTGGCTGCGAATCTCATCTTTCCGGCTCCTCCGAGCGCTTTAATTGCTGCCCGGCGCTCTCCGCAGGCCCCGCGTGCCGCGACAGCCCCGGTCTCGGGCTCCTGCCACGTTCTGTCTGTTCTGTTGCACGTTTGCCCCAGAGCCGGCTGAGCTCGGCGACTGCGCAGGCTCCGTTTCCGGACAGGCTGCAGCTAAGAAAATTGTTCCAGGAGGAGAAGAACTGGTGGAAGGGCGCCGCCCGGAGGACTGGAACCCGGGTGCTGAGTGATGTGGATCTGCCCTGCGGCCGTGCCGGGCGGCCTGGTGGTGTCTGCCTCTAGGGCGGGGTGAGAGGAGGGGGCTTGAGCTTTAAAGAGTGCGTGCCCAGTGCCCAGTGCCCAGCGCTGCACACACTCAGACGGGCCTGTTTTGTGATTTTTTTTTTAAGATTTATTTATTTAAAATCAAAGTTGGAGAGAGAGAGAGAGGTCGGTCTTCCATCCACTGGTTCACTCCCCAGTTGTCCACAACGGCCAGGGCCAGGCTGAGCCAAAGCCAGAAACCAGGAGCTGTTTCCGCGTCTCCCTCGGGGGAGCCGGGGCTCAAGTGCGTGGGCCGTCCTCGTCTGCTTTCCCCCAAGCACCTTAGCAGGGAGCTGGATCGGAAGCAGAGCAGCTGGGACTTGAACCGTCAGCGTATGGGATGCTGGCATCGCAGGTGCCGGCTTTACCTGCTGCGCCACAGGCCTGGCCCGGAATCTGTTTGTTAGAAAGCCCAGTTCGGCCGGCGTCACGGCTCACTAGGCTAACCCTCCACCTGCGGCGCCGGCACCCCAGGTTCTAGTCCCGGTTGCTCCTCTTCCAGTCCAGCTCTCTGCTGTGGCCGGGGAGGGCAGTGGAGGGTGGCCCAAGTGCTTGGGCCCTGCACCCCATGGGAAACCAGGAGGAAGCACTTGGCTCCTGGCTTCGGATCGGTGCAGCACACCGGCCGTAGCAGCCATTTGGGGGGGTGAACCAACAGAATGAAGACATTTGTCTCTGTCTCTCTCACTGTCTATATCTCACTCACTGTCTAACTCTGCCTGTCAAAAAAAGAAAGCAAGAAAGGCCAGTCCACAGCCTAACACAGGCGGAGGTGAAGTTTTGCCTGGTCCAGGTCAGAGGGCGAGGGAAGCAGGGACAGACAGGGGGAGGAGCTGAGCCGTGAGCTCGGTCCAGCAGAGACCCGGACCGTTCCTGGGGCGGCTCCAAAGCCAGGATGGGCTCCAGTGTCGCCCTCGGCGGAGGAGAGAGAGCCAAGTCTTTGAAGCCCCACACAGACCAGTCATTGGATGCAAGGCTCCCTCTGCGGAGGGAGCTGTAACCCTGGCCAAGGCGGTGTCCTTGGGCTGCTGGAAACTTCTAGAGAGACCAGACCCGCAGCCACTGGAGAGGAAGGGCCCAGTCCTCAGGGGACCCGGGCAGCGTCACAACGTCCGCTGCCCGATGCACTGACCGCGGCCCGGAGCTGGCAGTTTGGTTTGGAGGCGGCCAGGGTAGGGCGACATCTGGGAGCCGGATGTGTCCAGGACACATGCGGCCTCCTGTGGCTGGCTGTGCGTCCGGGGTGACTGGCCTTGACCCGGACCCTGTTTTTCTTCTCCGTATTGAGGACTTGCGGCTGTGGAGGGGGGTGAAGAGAAGATGAAGAGCGAGAAGCAGCCCCCCCCCCACCGTGGGAAAACATCGGTGTTCTTTCTTTTTTTTTTTTGACAGGCAGAGTGGACAGTGAGAGAGAGAGACACACAGAGAGAAAGGTCTTCCTTTGCCATTGGTTCACCCTCCAATGGCCGCCACGGCCGACGCGCCATGCTGATCCGAAGGCAGGAGCCAGGTGCTTCTTCTGGTCTCCCATGGGGTGCAGGGCCCAAGCACCTGGGCCATCCTCCACTGCACTCCCTGGCCACAGCAGAGAGCTGGCCTGGAAGAGGGGCAACCGGGACAGAATCCGGCACCCCAACTGGGACTAGAACCTGGTGTGCCGGCGCTGCTAGGCGGAGGATTAGCCTGTTGAGCCGCGGCACCGGCCCGATGATGTTCATTCTGAAGGCAGATGGATGATCCAAATCCAAGGACGTGCTTCTATTATGCAAACGTTACCAGAACGTAAGTCTTCCTGTCTCTGTCCAAGCCGTCGCTTGAGATCTGGGTACAGTGCTTCACAGCCTCTGGGGCCGGCGCTGTGGCGGAGCAGGTGGAGCCACTGTCTGCAGAGCCAGCATCCCATATGGCACCTGTTTGAGTCCTGGCTGCTCCACTTCTGATCCTGCTCCCTGCTAATGCACCTGGGAAAGCAGCAGACGACGGCCTAAATGCTTGGGCCCCTGCACCCATGAGGGAGACCTGGAGGAAGCTCCTGGCTTCAGATCAGCTCAGCTCTGGCCGTTGCGGTTACTTGGCGAGTGAACCAGCCGATGGAAACTCTCTCTCTCTCTGTGCCTCTGCCTTTCAAACACATAAATATATTTTTTTTTTTTTTTTTTTTTTTTTTTTTTTTTTGACAGGCAGAGTGGACAGTGAGAGAGAGACAGAGAGAGAAAGGTCTTCCTTTGCCGCTGGTTCACCCTCCAATGGCCGCCGCTGCAGCCGGCGCACCGCGCTGATCCTGGCAGGAGCCAGGAGCCAGGTGCTTTTCCTGGTCTCCCATGGGGTGCAGGGGCCCAAGCACCTGGGGCCATTCTCCACTGGACTCTCTGGGCATAACAGAGAGCTGGGCTGGAAGAAGGGGAGCCGGGACAGAATCCGGCGCCCCAACCGGGACTAGAACCCGGTGTGCCGGCGCCGCTAGGTGGAGGATTAGCCTATTGAGCCACGGCGCCGGCCACATAAATATATTTTAATTTTATTTATTTTTTTTATCTTTTTGACAGGTAGAGTTATAGACAGTGAGAGAGAGAGAGTGAGAGAAAGGTCTTCTTTCCGTTGGTTCACTCCCCAAATGGCCGCTACAGCCAGCGCTGCGCTAATCCGATGGCAGGAGCCAGGTGCTTCTCCTGGTCTCCCATGGGGTGCAGGGCCCAAGCACTTGGGCCATCCTCCACTGCACTCCCGGGCCACAGCAGAGAGCTGGCCTGGAGGAGGAGCAGCCAGGACTAGACCCCGGCACCCATATGGGATGTCGGCGCCTCAGGCGGAGGATTAACCAAGTGAGCCATGGCGCCGGCCTATAAATAGATATATTTTTAAAAAGAACAAACGCTTCGAGGTCCCACCCGAGGCCCATTTCATTCTTCGTGTTCCTTCTTGGTACTGTCCTTGTTGACAAGAAACTAATCTGTTGCTTTTCTTTCTTCTTTTTAAAAAATAAGATTTATGTATTTGAAAGGCAGAATGACAGAAAGAGAGAGAGAGAGAGAGCGAGCGAGCGTGATCTTCCATGTTCTGGTTCGTTTCCCACACGCCCACAATAGCTGGAGCTGGGCCAGTCCCAAGCCAGGGGGCTAGAACTCCATGCAGGTCTCCCCCAGGAGTGGAAGTGGTGCAGCCTCGGGGCCGTCGCCTGCTGCCCCCCAGGTGCGCAGTAGCAGGAGCTGGGTCAGCAGCGAGTGGCCGGGGCTGTTACGTGGGCTGCTGGCCTCACAGTTATCCGCGTAACCTGCTGTGCCACCAGCTTGTGCCGCTTTTACGTAGCAGCGCAGGCCGCCCTCACTGCCACGTGTTAGAGACTCCACCTGGCGGGTACAATAAAGATTATGTCATTTTCTTTAAGCAGTTGGATTTTGTTTACATTTGTGGGACTATTTGTAGACAGTTCAGGCATGGGGTCCGGGTGCTGGGGCGTAGCAGGTAAAGCTGCCTCCTGACTCCGGCTTTCCGTATGAGCACCAGTTTGAGTCCCGGCTGCTGCACTTCGGATCCAGCTCCCTGCTGTGGCCTGGGAAAGCAGTGGAGGATGGCCCATGTCCTTGGGCCCCTGCACCCACATGGGAGACCCGGAAGAAGCTCCTGGCTCCTGGCTCTGGCCTGGCCCAGCCTTGGCCATTGTGGCCACCTGGGGTTTGAACAGCAGATGGAAAATGCTTCTCTCTGTCTTTCCCTCCCTCTCTGGAACTCTTTCAAATAAATAAATACATCTTTTTTTTTTTTTTTTTTTTAAGGAAGAATATTCTGGCATGGGACCAAGGGATACCAGGCGTGTGTACTGAGGGACTGACATGGAAACGGCACCGCACAGTGAGTGGTTTTATGTTGGTTTTATATGACGGCAGCCTGGGTTTGAACTCTAATCAGATTAGATGTCTTTCCAGTAAGCACAGGCCGTACCAGCCACTCGCCAGCCGTCCCTCTTCGATAACTGGCTCAGCTCAGAGGATTGGCAGGGGTGGGGTGGGCTGGGGGCCAAAGCAGACCCCAGCCCACCAGGCCAGGAGCAGGGAGCAGCTTGCTCAGCCCTTGGTGGTGGGAGGAGAGGGGTGGGCTTGGTATTTTGGAATAATGCAGTCTTCAGGCGTCATTTTAACCACATCAGCCCCGTGGCTTCAAGGCCCCCTTTACTGAGCAAATGTAGCCTGGGGGGATGTGGTCTCTTCCTGTTGGCGATTTGGTGACCGCTGGGATCTCAGACTGCAAGTTCAGTCTGTCCACGGGTCCCGCATGGGCCGCAGTGTGCGAATGAGCCCCTGGTCTTGGAGGATCGGAACCCACGTCCCGACGACAGGGGAGTAGACAGGGGAGTAGGAAGGTTTTGCGCTTTCTAAGTTTGTCATTATGAGTTTTAATTTATTTTTCCCTGCTGTCCTAGGTGAATAGGTTACAGGACTAGTGATAGAATGCTAGGCATTGGTTGTCAAGTTTTGTGTGGAAAATTTCAAAAGAAATTACAGAGGCAGGGTAATCAGACCCTACCCGCTCATCACTCAGCTTCAAGTCACCCGTTTGCAAATATTATTCCACCTCCCGCCGCGTCCTGTGTCAGAATTCCTATGCAAAGCTAGACCTTGTGCCTTTCACATCTGGGGAGTGAACCAGCGATGGAAGACCTCTGTCTCCCTCCCCAGCGGATGGAAGACCTCTCTCTCCCTCCCTCCCTCTCTCTGTAACTCTGTCTTACAAATAACAATAAAATCTTTATATATATAATCACAGCACATCGTTAACTCGTAAGACATCTTGCATTCGCTGGTTCACTCCCTGAAAGCCTGTAACGGCCAGGGCTTGGGCCAGGTGGAAGCCAGGAGCCGGGAGCTCCGTCCAGGTCTCCCACGTGGGTGCCGGGCCCAGCACCTGACCCATCAGTGCTGCCTCCCAGACTGTGCGTGAATAGGGGGCTACAAGCAGGACCAGAGCCGGACTCGAACCCAGGCGCCCAGGTGTGGCCTGTGGGGGTGTCAGGTGGCGTCTCAGCCACTACACCAAAACACCTGCCCTGCACGGTTCTCTTATTTCAACTGTGCCCGTGTTCAGGCTCAGCCGGCTGTCCTTTAATTAAGAAAATCTGTCCCAGGATCCAGGCCAGGATTAAGCATTGCGCGGGGTCCTCCTGTCTCTCTCGTCTCCCTCACTGTGGCGGCTGCTCAGCCTCTGTGTCCTGTGACTTCGACATTTCTGAAGAGTGCGGATTGGCTGATGAGCAGATTCCCTTCTTAGTCTTTGAGCGCTTCCTTGCCTTCTGTCGGAACACGGTGTCCCACGCTCGTCCGCACGCTTCCTGTTCCTGGTTCGCCCCTCCGGGGAGCCCTGCTTTCTTACCGTGGGAAATGCTGTTTAGAGATGAGAGCTGAATTTTGGTGCCAGTGTTGTTCTTTCTTTTTTTCCTTCCTTTTTTTATTTTTTAAATATTTATTTATTTATTTAAAGAGCTACACAGAGAGAGGAAGAGACACACAGAGAGATCTTCCATCTGCTGGTTCACTCTGCAAATGGCTGCAATGGCCAGGGCTGGGCCAGGCCAAAGCCAGGAGCCTGGAACTCCATCTGGGTCTCCTCCGTGGGTGCAGGGGCCTAAGCACCCGGATCGTCTTCCACTGCTTTCCCAGGTGCATTTGCAGGGAGCTGGACAGGAAGCGGAGGAGCTGGGTCTCAAACCCTTACGGGTGCTGGCGTCCCGGGCGGCGGCTTTGCCTGCTACGCCACGGCACCGGGCCCATCACTGCTGTTGGCTGGGACGAGGTGGGAGCAGATGGGCAGCAGCCAGCAGAGTGCCCTGGAACGGGCTCTCCCCGTCCCCTGGAGACCCCTCGTGTGGAGCTTGTGTGGACCCCTTGTGTGGATCAGTTTTGCTGAAGCCAAAGCAACAGAAAGGCAGAAGGGGGACAGGCAGGTGTTTGGCCTGGTGGTCAGGTGCCGACTGGGACCCCTGCATCCCACAGCGAGGGCCGGGGTCCCATGCCCGGCCGCAGCTCCTGACTCCAGCTCCCTGCTAATGCAGCCCCGGGAGGCAGCAGCGATGGCGCCAGTGGGTAGAGCCCTGCCACGCACGTGGAGGACGTGGATAGAGGTCGTGGCTCCCAGCAGGGGCTGTTCTGGGCGTGTGGGGGGTAAATCAGCAGCCGGGAGCTCATGCACACACACCCCCCAACCCCCGCCCCCTCTTCCTGCCTCTCAAGTAGATAATAAATAAATAAGACCCGCAGAACACTCACGGACCTTGTCCGCTTGAACGGCTACAGGCGTGGCTCGTTCAACGTAGTCCCTGGAGGGTTTTTTTTTTTTCCTACTCATTTTTTTTATGAGAGGTTTTATTTTATTTTATTACCCGGGAGTTTGTTTTTCCTTCTGTACAACATAGGTTTACTGTAGCCATTGGCAGTGCAGATGGAGAGCTGTGGAGGACGTGCCCGGGAGACGACGGGTGGAGCACCCCGAGGCCGTGACGGGCAGAGCACCCCGAGGCCGTGACGGGCAGAGCACCCCGAGGCCGTGACGCGGCAGGGCACCCCGAGGCCATGACGCGGCAGGGCACCCCGAGGCCGTGACAGGCAGAGCACCCCGAGGCCGTGACGCGGCAGGGCACCCCGAGGCCGTGACGCGGCAGGGCACCCCGAGGCCGTGACGGGCAGAGCACCCCGAGGCCGTGACGCGGCAGGGCACCCCGAGGCCGTGACGCGGCAGGGCACCCCGAGGCCGTGACGCGGCAGGGCACCCCGAGGCCGTGACGCGGCAGGGCACCCCGAGGCCGTGACGTGGCAGAGCACCCCGAGGCCGTGACGGGGCAGAGGCCCAGCCTGTCCCCGCCAGGGCAGAGTCCCTTCCTGCATGGGTGAACGCAGGGCAGGGCCGCTGCGCCACGGGGAGCGGCCGCTCTCCCCGCCAGTCGTCCTCCCCTTGTCCTGTGAGTTCTCTCACACAGCAGGCGTCCTGGGCCCGGATTCCCACCAGGACGCTTCCTGGGGCCATGACCCCCGCGACACGACCCCTGCGACACGGGAGCCTGCGGAGAACACTCAGGAGCGCACCTGCCTCTGTGGCGCAAGGAGCTCAAGCCTCGGCCGTCTAAGTTTTCCCAGCAGACAACAGGCTACAGGGCAGCCCGGGAAGAGGGTCTCAGGACAGAGCTGCGCGTCCGCGAGGAGGAGGAGGGCTGGGGGCCTCGGAGAAGAGGGGGCAGTGTAATCGGGATGGGCGTCTCGGGGCAAGCGTGCGACTGACCGTCTTCTGTGTTCCACGCCGCCGCCTGCAGCCCCTTAGCTGCTCACACAGACTCCAGGCCTCAGACCAGGCCTTTTTCTTTTCTTCTTCTTTCTAAGCTTCATTGATTTATTTGAAAGGCGGAGTTCCAGAGGAGGAGGGGCAGAGGCAGAGAGAGAGAGAGAAGTCTTCCATCCACTCATTCACTCCCCAAATGGTCGTATGGCCAGGGCTGGGCCAGACTGAAGCCAGGAACCAGGAGCTGCTTCTGGTCTCCCACATGGGTGCCGGGGGCCAAGCACTGGGGCTGTCCTCCACGGCTTTTCCAGGCACATCAGCAGGGAGCTGGATCGGAAGTGGAGCAGGCGGGATGCTGGCGCTGCAGGCAGCGGCTGAACCCCGCAAGCCAGAGCACAGACCGGGCCTGTTTCAACCCCCCCTGCACAGCGGATTCACACTTGCCTCCTGCCCCTCCCCAGCACTGTGGCTGTGGAAGAGTGAGGGCGGGGATGGTCTGGCCCCGTGCTGCCCCCGCCCCTCTTTTTGCAGCTCCCTAGCTGCCCTGTGTGACAGGCGGGCATTGGAGGTAGCAGGCTTCCCGGGCACGGGCAGGTCCAGGCGTGGAGGCCCTCGAGCCGTTTGGCTTTGGTTCTGTCCATTGCTGCTGGTCTCTGCCTCCCAGACGCTGCCCCTCGGGTCTCCGAGCCGAGTCTTCCCCGGTCCCACCGGAAGCCGCCTCCCCAGTCTGCAGAGGGAGGGCCCGCAGCCGGGGGCCCAGCCTCCCTCTGGCCCCGCGCGCTGCTTCCTGTGGAAGTTCTAGAATCATCAGGGATTCTCAGCCCTGTTCCGCCTGTTCACTCCTGCAACAGTAATTTCTAGAAGAGATTTTATTTATGTGAAAAGCCCTGGGCAAATAGTCAGAGGAAGATGTGGGTACAACCACGGCCCTGCCGTCCACGCAGGAGGCCGGGACGGAGCTCCTGGCTCCAGGTTTGGCCCCGCCCCGCCCCAGCCATCGCGGCCATCGCGGCCATCTGGGGAGTGAACAACGGGTGGAAACTCTCGTTCTCTCTGTGCCTCGCTTTCTTTCTCTGTTGCTCCGCCTCTCCAACACGTCCCCCCCCCGCAGAGACATCCTGAGGTGGGCACGTTTTTGTCCACGGTCCTTAGGCAGGCGCCACGGCGTCTCCTCTCTTCTGGTCCTGCTTTCAGAAGCCGCCACCTCCGGGGACTTTGACAAGGACAATTGACAACAAAACAGCCATCAATAATCATTATTGTGTGTGGCCTTTGAGGCAAAAATAAACAGACTTGTAAAACACACCAGGTCACTTCCAGCACCTTAAACACCGCCAAGAAGGTGGCCAGGTCCGGGCGGGGAATGACAGCCGGGACCGGGGAGTACCTGCTTCCAGCAAGAACTGGGGACTTCAGCAAGATCCTGAGCTGCCGACGGGGAGAAGCCAGCCATCAGACGTCCTTGCTCTTGTCTGTTGTCCTGGGTGACTTTGGGTTTGAGTTACTTGTGGCGACTCAAAGGCCTCTCTGGGTGGCCTTGCTGAGGGGCCTCAGCCGTGCCTGGGTCTGTCCCCACCCCCGCCCCGAGG